CTTGAGCTTGACACACTCATCATAATTATCGGTCTCAACCACTTGCTTGCCCTTGCTACTAGAACTTTGCTCAATGCTCTCAATAATCAAATCATCACATGATGTAGCTATATCAATCTTAACAACATTGGTAGTAGCATCATGTGGCTCATTGGATAAAAATTCTTGAGCAATGATAAGATTATCATGATTAATCTTAAGATTGGTATATTCATCTTTTAGCATATTATGGCTAGTGATGAGCTCATTGTGTATCCTCTCAAGTTTATCATGTTTATCTTTAAGCTTTTTCTTAGAAGATTTGAGCTTCTTGAGTTTGGATGACATAGCATCATTTGCTTCTCTAAGCTCAATACTAGCCTTTTTGGCTACATCATATTTGGCTAAAAGAGAATCATTCTTATCATCTAGCTTGTCATTCTTAGGTCTAGTCTTTCTAATGATCTTAGTATATTGATTTAGCAATTTAACAAGATCATCATAAGAAGGTGATTCATATTCATCATCATCACTATCACTATCATCATTGTTAGCATGATCATCACCACTACTATCATCATCATTTGATACCTTGCGTTCACCTTTGGTCATAAGGCATAGGTGTGTAGATGATGATGGCGGTGGTGTCGGTGAAGATGATGAAGAGTCGATCACAATGGCGGCCACCTACTCATTATCACTATCATCATCGGATGAGCAACTTGATGAATCAATATTCGTGAACCAATCACCGACGATGTATGCCTTGCCATTCTTCTTTTTTTTGTGGAAGTCCTTCTCGCCATCCTTCTTCTTGTATGGCTTGTTTTTCTTCTTCTCATCTTCTTCTTCATTACTTGAGTCATCTTTCTTGTCCTTGTACTTGTCTTTCTTGTGCTTTGTGCATTGGTGTGTTAGATGACCAAGTTCTTCACAATTGTAGCAATCCATCTCCGAGATTGACTTTCTTCTAGAGCTAGTGAAGAACTTCTTTTTCTTTTCATCAAACTTGATGCCACTCTTGTTAAGTTTCTTTAGCATCTTGGCGGTTCTTCTCACCATGAGAGCAAGACTTGCATCATCAATTTCATCATCACTTGAGCTCTCATACTCAAGCCTTGCTTTGCCCTTCTCTTGACTACCTTTGAATGCTAAGTTCTTGTCTTTCTTCTTAGTAGAGGATAAGCCATCTTGTGGTGTGATGTGCATGTACATCTTATGAACATCGATCTTTCCCAAGATTTGTGTTGATGTAGAGGTGAAAAGATCACCTTGATGAAGCACGGTCACAATATGCCCATATTTATCAATGGGGAGGACACTCAAGATCTTTTTTACGTCTAATGGTTGTATTTGAGTAAGTCCAAGCCCATTGACTTTCTCTACAAGAACATTCAGGCGTTAGTACATTTCATTAGCACTCTCTTTAGGAAGCATCTCAAATGAATTTAGCTTTTTCATGACAAGATGATAGCGTTCCTCACGCTCGCTCTTTGTTTCCTCATAGAGCACACAAATATCCGACCATAGTGCATGAGCGTCTTTGTGGTTCCTCGTCCGATTAAACACATCTTTGCAAAGCCCTCTAAAGATGGTGTTTCTAACCTTTGCATTCCATTTTTTTAATTAATCTGATCACCTTGTAGGTGCGTGGGATCCCGAGGTCTTGGGAATTCTTGTGAGGCGGCTCTAAGTATTCCAACATCTAGAGCTTCTAAGTACGCCTCCATGTAGATTTTCCAATAAGAAAAATCACCCCCCTCAAAGATAGAAAGAGGTCCATCCCCGTGAGACATCTTTCTCTAGGCGGTTAAGCCTAAATACGTGAGCACGAGGCTCCGATACCAATTGAAAGGATCAAGTTGCCCGAGAGGGAGGTGAATTAGGTTAATTCTAAATTTTTTTGCAATAATTAAACCCTACGGCTAGCCCAACTTCACCCCTTGTGCCTAGAAAGTGTTTCTAATGTTCTACCGCATAAAAAGTCTTGTAACCTAAGTTCCAATCCTACTCTAGCATGGCAATTCTATGAATGTAAAGATAAGAATTGAATTGCTCAAAGTAAATGCTCAGGAACACGGCGATGTTTTGTCGAGGTATCGGAGAGTCGTCACTCTCCACTAGTCCTCGTTGGAGCACTCACGCAAGGGTGTAGCTCCCCCTTGATCCGTGCAAGGATCAAGTGCTCTCTACGGGTTGATTCTTTGACACTACGTCGCGGTGAATCACCCACAGCCGCTCATAACTTGAGTTGGGTCATCCACAAGCTCCGTCGGATGATCCCAATCACCACCAAGCCATCTAGGTGATGGCGATCACCAAGCGTAACAAGCACGAACTCTCACTTGACTACGACAAGCCTAATGAGAAGGGTGGATGCACACTTTGCTACTCTTGCTTTCACTAATGAGGTCTCTCTCTTGGATTCTCAAATCTCAATCACCCCACTAGGACCTTGCTCTTCTTGACACTCTCAAGGGTGTTTCTCAGCTGTTGGAATGAGCAAAAGTGCCCCCACATGAATGGAGAAAGTATTTATACACCCGTGTTCAAAACGAACCATTATGTGCCTCTGCGGGGTGACCGGACGCTCCGGTTAGTTCTCCCCGAAACCCAGTGTTTAAGTTGTGACCGGACGCTGAACAGCGTCCGGTCAGCACTTACCGGACGCGTCCAGTCACGATTTTTCCTCTCTGGAACCTTACTGGAGTCGATCGGACGCTGGCACCCAGCGTCCGGTCACTCACCTCTCAGCGTCCGGTCACGCTAGACGACTTCACCTTGATCAAATGAACTGACCGGACTCTACGCCAGCATCTGGTCACACCGGAACCAGCGTCCGGTCAGCATTTAACCCTCCATTCACTTCTATCTCGCAATCATATGTGAATGAAGTTTGCTCCAATTGATCTAAGGGCTTTTTAGGAGCTACCTAGTGCTAGATTTGACAAGTGTGCACCACACCTAACCCACTAGACTCACATAAGTCAAGTTACCCGTTCATACCCTCTTAATAGTACAGCCAAAGGAAAAACAAAGTCCTAAACTACTCTAAGTGTCTGTTCAATACCAAACGACACTTAGAACTAGTCCATCCTTAACCTTGCCGTCCATCCTTTGAAAACGGAAACGATTTCCATCGTAGGAGCATGACAAACATGATTGCCCAATCAATTGCTATTACCGTGACCTAACTTAATTGCATCTGCAAAATACACGTTAGTCACAGTAATCACGTATTATCATTAATCACCGAAACCCAACTAGGAGCCTAGATGCTTTCATACTACAATAACAGACATGCTGAACATATGTGAAAAAAAAATCTCATCTACTGTATTGTCGTATACTGCTCTCTTTCACCTGTACATATTTCCTGAAGGTTGCCCCTAGTTCTTTCATTTGGAGATTACAATTTTTACTATGCGGAAACACTTGTGTGAAATGTCAACACAGAGCGATATCATAAAAGCATGATGCATGCCGGGGACCCAAAAAACATAATTCAAAACTACTAACTTTTATCAACACCATGAAATATTCAAAGGACAGAAGTACGGCTAGTATTGACAAAAGGATAACACACAAAGAAATCTGAATTCGCAATGAATTAAATTAAAGCCATACACAAACAGTGAGAATGAGGAATCATAGCAGTTGACAAATGATAAGCCATTAGGATAAATGAATAAATTGCTCGCAAAAAAAAGAGGATAAATGAATAAGTGAGCTGATCTAATCCAAAGAAGATGACAACAAAATTGTACCATTGGTCATGTCTCATGAGAACAGCAAGCAATCACGGAGTTTGGACTATGGAGTAATACAATTTTCGTAAGCAAAAAATGAAATAAGCTAATAGTAATACTCAAAATTCATGAAGCCATCCCAAAAGATCCCTCACTGAGAGAGAGCTACTCCCTCCATTTCAAATTATAAGACATTTTGGCTTTTCTAAATACATTGTTTTTACTATGTATCTAGACACGGTGTATATCTAAATGCACAGCAAATGAATCTAGAAAAACCAAAACATCCTATAATTTAGGACGGAGGGAGTAGCTGATAAGTGACAAGAGCAAAAGGTTTCATATCAACCCTTCCATTAACTGAACAGACTGAATATTGCATCATCACAAGATTAAAGATGCATGGAATAGTAAACATAAACAATCACTGCCATTCTTTGTCAAATACTCGCTCTGTTTAAAGTTCTAGACCACTTTTAGGTTCGTCCTAAGTCAAACTAGTTTAGCTTTGACCATGTTCATAGGAGAATGGATCAACACCTTGACTTGAAGAAACTAAAATGATCTACAATTTGGAACGGAAGGAGTACCATGAATTTTTCAAAGGAAGTGATAGACAAATTGCTCCGCTGTGGAAATGAAGAGACGAAAGAAGTCCTGAATTTGAATAGACTAACCTAGAAATGAGGTCTGGAGACATTCAGAACATTACCAACTTACAGATAATTCATCTGACAATAGTTTTCGTGATTAATGGCACCACTAACATTCAACCCCAATTCAGTTGCTCGTGTATTCTTAACTAAGAAGGTTGCCTTAAGCGAAATTAGGTGATGCACATTGTTTAAGAGTGTAACAGAATTACAAACTTGAACACTCAGTAAATATGATTTCCGCTCTAAACCCCCTCCAATTAATAATAACAAACACAATTCAAACCACTACAAAAACTGCTAGCAAAATGGCAAGCAACAGAACAAGCACTTACAAGGAAGCAAAATGTTCATTTGTCCACCATCAATCCATCATGAATTAATGATAGTGCCAACAAGGCAGATACAGTATACATTACCAGTTTAGAGCATATCGCATTCACTGTCAATTCAAGGCAGAGATACATCACGCACATATGAGCTAACGAATTGACACATACACAAATCTCATATAATCGAACAGCAATTCTTTATGAACGACAATGGGTGGGGATACAAAAGATTGGGATGCAAAGAAAAGAGATTAAAGGGGAAAAAAGGAGTCCTATTATACCTAGTGTCACACGATAGATATCTTGGCGCCGACCTCCTCGAGCTGTTTCTTGGCATCTTCGGCCTCGTCCTTGCTGACGGCCTCCTTAAGCTTCTTGGGGAGACCCTCGATAAGGTCCTTGGCCTCCTTGAGCGCGAGGCTGGTGAGCGCGCGCACCACCTTGATAGTGGCGATACGCGCGCTGCTGGGCACCTCCTCAATTACTACGTCGAACTCCGTCTTCTCGACGGGGGCCTCCTCCTCGGCGGCCCCCGCGCCGCCCGCCCCAGGCGCCGCGACGACGGCGGCCGGTGCGAAGGCCGCAGCGGTGACGCCGAGCCGCTCCTGGAGGTGGTCAACAAGGCTGCGGGCCTCCTCGAGAGTGAGCCCGGCGATGACGTCACCAAGCTCCAAGATCTTGGGGGACTCGGTGGCGGTGGACGCGACGGCGACGGCGCGGCGTCCCCGGCGGCTATGGGGCACGGCGAGGGAGGACCTCGGGAGCGAGGCGGTGGGGGGAGGGGACGTGGAGGGGCGGGAGAGGAGGGTGAAGGCGGAGGAGAGGGTGGTGGACGCCATGGCTAACTCTTGGGAGCTCGTACGTCGGGAGTGAGCAGCAGCGGCGGGAGGCGGCGGGCCGCGGGGGATAAGATGAGGCGATGGGGTGCTGTTGCGATAAGATGTGGAGAGTTATATACGAGCGGTGTGAGTGGCTACACCTACGCTTTCCTTGCAAATTGCAATTGCATCTTTGGATCTCTAATAAAAGCTCATCACATGAGGATTTGTTTTTTCGAATTATCGCATGAGCAATTTAAACCATTTATTTATTTTTGACAAATCAGATTCTCTGGCTTGGAAATTAAAACTAGTGAACTCAAGAATCTAAAACGCTATATTTAGTGCCCATTTGGCATTGCTCTGGCTCCAGCTCCCGCATCTATGAGGAGCTGGACCGCATTGAATGGCTAAGCGGGAGAAGCGCTCGTTGGGATGAGAAGGAGCCAGAACCGTTTTTGCCGTATGGCATGGCACGATGGCGGAGCTACATTTTTTGTGCTTCTAATTCGGCTCCAGCTTCTGTGGTGTCCGAGCTAGAGCCGGAACGATGCCTAACATGCTCTTATGCTCTTGCGTTGCAATAAGAATCATAAAAAAAAAATAAGGCCATGTTAATTCAGGTTTGTACATATGTTATAGCGTTACCAAATAATGATGTTTTGATTGTCTTGGCAACATGTTCTTTGTAGCTATTCATCACTGTTACATGGATGCTGATGAAGCATGAACTATTAGCACAAAAGCAAGTTCATCTTTGAAATCAAAGCAACCAAGTTTAGAACATAACTAGTAGGTACCCCCACCAAGCCGGAAATATAGCACATCATATGATTATGCATGGAACCAAAATATAAGTGAAATTAGTTACAAATGGATCCTTATGTGATCAACATTTCCCCCGTTTTCACACTCAGAAACACTGCTCATCCACATTTCCCCTCGGCTAACCGTCCGATCATGCACACAAACATCTTATGTCCGCCATGACCACCTCCGCACCCTGCGGGCCCTTCTCCCACCTATGTACCCTATTGGCTCCAGCCCCCAATGGACATCGAGGACCATGCCTGGACAAAAGAAGAAAAAATGCTGCCTGCATCGGTCGTCTGCCGCCGCTGAATCGCACGACGTAGCCTCCAGCGCTCCTGCGAACTTTGTCGGCTATCATGGCCTCCTTGCATAATTATGCAAAGGGTAAAGATGTCTAGGCATCCCCCCTAAACCTGAGGGGTGGCGGCTTGCTAACCTAGCTGCAGGATAAAATGAAACAGTTAAACCTCAATTGTATGTAGGGCAAAGATCATTCTAGAAGTGGTGGACTAGGGGCCGACCGAAGCACGACCGTGGAAGTCACTGGCCGCCTTGTGCTGCATGCCGGCCAGCCGGTGGCCGCCTTGCGCTGCCTAATGCATGCACCCAGAGCCATTTCTATCGACGCAGCCATGGGCGGGCCGTGTGCTTGTGGATCTGATGATCGCTGCGCATCGAGGCTCTGACGGGTGGTCGTGCTTGTGGACGGTGGATGCTACATCATCCATCACCTACCAGGTTGAGCCTGGATGCATCCGTGCGAGGTGTCACTCGACGTTTAAGGGCGAGAAGAGGAAATCGGGCACGACAAGCAGGGATTGCGGAGCCACGATGATTGTCGTGATTAGCATGGGAAGGTAGCTAAACGACGAAGGAAATTATTACATACCTAGTGCGGGGCAGCACAGATAATATCTAGTGTCTTTTATTTATGGGGATTTTGGGTGCTTGAATGTTACCCAACTGTCTGCCTCGTCCTGCCACGCACGTTGTCGGGGACCTAATACCGGGGTACCTAATGAGGTGGAACTAATGACCATCGAACGTTGACACTTCCGATCAGACGAGAATGCTACTACGCTTGTCCAAACGACGGAAGACTGGTTCTGCCTCGCCCGACCTCCGAGGGCTAGGCCCCGCCTCGCCCAATGGCTAAGGGCTGGCTCCGCCTCGCCCGACGTCCGAGGGCGGGCTCCGCCTCGCCCGATGGCTAAGGGCTGGCTCCACCTCGCCCGACCCCCAAGGGTAGGCTCCGCCTCGCCCAACGGCTAAGGGCTGGCTCTGCCTCGCCCGACATCCGAGGGCGGGCTCCGCCTCGCCCGACCCCCAAGCCCCGAGGGCTGGCTCCGCCTCGTCCGATCCCCGAGGGCTGGCTCCGCCTCACCCGACCCCCGGGGGCAGGCTCCACCTCGCCCGACGACTGAGGACAGGCTCCGCCTTGCCCAACGGCCGAGAGCAGACTCCGTCTCACTGGGCGAGTACACCCTGCTCCTTCATAATGATGAGCACAGGGCACGACATGACACTCGAGTTAAACATAGCACCAAGGACCATGCCCTGCACCGCTGCAGGAAAGTACCGTCAGTGTACGATGGGATAGGCGCTTTAGACCATTCCGGGCATGGCATAGTCCGAATAGTATTGTAGGTGCCGCCTTCAGCCCTCGGGCGCAGAACCTGACATAAACACATGACAATCACTACGGTCCAAGAAGAGACTCACGCCCTCTACAGTGACGAACGTACAGTCACCGCGCTGTCCGCCCCCCACAGGGCTACATGTCAACACCTTTGTCCGACACGCCGCCTAGGGGGGCGGGACGGGACGTGACCACTTGCCCATCCCTGACACCGTCTGGCCATGTCAGCGAGGCTGGCTCAGCGGAAAAGAAGGACCCAACACCTTCAGAGGGGCTCCTTGGCATTTGGTTTTTCTCCTTTCTCCAACATGTAACCTCTACCCCCCCTTGGTGTATAAAAGGAAGGGCAGGGAACCCCGCTAAGAGGATGGATCAACTCATAGAGAAATCAATCGATACGATTCAACAACACATATCACGCATAGCTGAGCGGCGACTAAGCTCTCGGCGACCTTTTGACCATTCCATCAGAGACTTGGGACCCGTCCCTCTCTCGACCGTTTGTACCCCCTACTACGAACCTTTTTTGGTACTAATAACATGAGCAACAGCAGACTGGACATAGGGACGTTTGGCCTGAACCAGTATAAACTTCATGTACTTTAGTGCACCATCCGGGCCTAACGCGCAACAATCATAAATTTACTAGTCGGTGTTCGTTCGAAACACTGACAGTTGGCGTGTCAGGTAGGGGCCTTTGCGCGTTCCAAATCAGGCCTCGGATGGTAACCACGCAGTCAGCTGGGTCCAGGGCACACACGTGCGTTTTGGTGACCTGGACTTCATCGTCATGGTGGGAGGAGAGTTGGCGTTGGCCCATCTCACCATCCAATCTCTCCCTTCCATCGGCTCCGCTACTGGAGGCTTGAGTGCCAGCCCGGCGTCTCCCTTGGACCCCAGCCGTCTAGGGAGGCCTCGAGCCGCCTTACCCTCTCTCCAAAATGCTCCACACGGAGCGCCTCAATGGCATTTCCATTCGGTCTTCACAACGCCACGGCAACCATAAGCCACCTTGTGGTCCAGCGCGTGATCCCGTCCCCTGCGAACAACGAGTTCATGGGGATGATTGAAAGCGCCACGGAATCCCTCCACGGCCTCCTCATAGAAGGTATGGGGTCAGACTCTGGCTCTGACTCCGGCAGGGGGAGCCACCATCCCTCCCCGGAATGCTTCATGGCAGAAAGCTCCGAGGGACACGTCGAAAGCGCCTCCGAGAAGGAGGTCACCCCGACAGGCAACCTCGGCGACAGAACCGAAGGGGGAGCAACGGCCCCACCTCATGTAGGGGTGGAGCCACTGAGAGCCCAAAAGCGGGAAATAGACAAAGCCGGACAATAGCTTATTCGGGAGTACGTGGAGGTCGATGAGGAGATCAAGCGCCGCAGAGATGGTGGGCACGCACGCGCCCGTTGCCCGCGACATAAACTTAAGGATCATCGCTGGCGGTAAAACCCTTCCTCACTTCGTCCGGTCAAGCCAGAACATCGCCGCTGCAATGGCCCTACTTCATGGCCTTCTAGAGGCCACGACGCCCAAGGATCGTCGGGTCCACCGTGAGATTCGCACGCTACTTGAGCGTGCGGCAGCGCATCAGGCGGAGAGCTCGCTGTCTCGGCGACGCGAGCCCGACGCCGGCTAGCGTACCCCCTCAGTGTGTCCTGCTAGGGACGCATCGGTCCACCAAGCACCACAAGGCGGTGGGCAGCGCGCTGCAATCATGGTACATCAACGTCTCAGCCACAACCGCGACGCACGCAGCACCCTCGACGCCCGTAGACGCACCCACAGCGACACGAGGGAAGGAGCCCGCCGTGGCTATCATCCTCGACACGGCGGACGCTACGACAGCGGCGAGGACCGGATCCTGAGCCCCGGCCTGCCAGGTCCTCAGGCCTTCAGTCGGCACATCCTCAACGCTGCATTCCCGCCAATGTATTGACCACCTACCAACATCCCGAAATACTCTGGGGAGATGAACCCTAGACTTTGGCTTGAAGACTATAGGCTCGCCTGTCAAGCTGGTGGTACGGATAATGATGACTTCATTATCCACAACCTTCCATTGTTTTTGGCCGATTCGGCCCGGGCATGGTTGGAACACCTACCGTCCAACGCAATCCAGAGTTGGGCGGATCTAAAGGAGATCTTTGTGGGAAACTTCCAGGGCACGTACAAACGCCCTAGGAACCCATGGGACCTCAAGAACTGCCGTCAGAAGGCCGGTGAGACCCTCCGCGGGTACATTCGGCACTTCTCCCGGCAGTGCAACGAGCTCCCTAACGTCGCCGACGCTGTTGTGATAGGAGCCTTCCTGTCCGAGATGACCTGCGAATCCCTGGTTCACAAGCTAGGACGCAAGGGCCTACGGACCACCAAGGAACTCCTAGACATCGCCACTAGCCACGCCTCAGGCGAAGAGGTGGTCGGAGCGATCTTTGATCGCCTCGAAGGCAAGGCAAGGCGGGACGAGGGTACCAGCGAAGGCAACTCCAATCATTTCGCCAAATGGAAGAATAAGAAGCAACGGCGTGAGGACTCGCTCGTGGCCGCCACTGACCGCAAGGGTGGT